TTCACAAGCAAGCGATGAAACTGCCCATCACGGGCTACCTATACCTTTACAATCAGATACGCGTGCCGCCCCTCATGGGCTTCCTTCATCCTCATCCTGATAGGATCTTTTAGTAATATTTTATATTCTTTTTTATTAATACATATACGTAAATACTTTTTGCTTTACAATTATGTCCCAAATATTTTGTGTTTAACCCCTTTGTCCTTTACAAAATTTAGCGTTCTCGCGCTCTCGGTTAGCACCTACGGCCTCGTGAAAATTTGACGGGTAAACTATTAACTCGGGAATCACGGAAAGATATTCATCCTTCAAGGTTTCGAATTCAGCTTTCACCGGCTAGACTGGTGCGCGTTGCCATTTATTATATCCATCACAAGTACCATGTGCCTTCGGTGTTTTTTAAAATATTTTCCTCCCGCGTGGCTGTTTATTGTTCAAATCTACTTTTCAGGTTGTCTGCATTTCGCTTTCCAACTCGGACGGTGTCATATAGGCTTTTAGCTTTCCGTGATAGCGTTTTCAAAATAGCACGCAGTCCCGGCCAGTGCTTCTTGCTGTTGTTCAGTAGGTACGGAAAAACTTGAGCATGCACTAAACAACGGTAACCATCCGATTTCCGAACTGCACATCTGTCCTCCATTTGTGGCTCAATTCGAAAATAGTATTTTTTGTTTTATTCTTTTGGAAAAAAAAAAACACGATGATTTTGTAAATGTCTGTCTTAACTGTTCGATAATGTTTGCACAACGATGCCATAATTGTTCGTATATTTTGGATTATTACAGTTGCTGTTATTAAGATGCACTCATACGCCAAACGCAATACATACATGTGCTGGGTAATCACCGTTTTTTCTGCTTCTTTTCCAAAACCGTTCACTTATCCTTTCGTTGTCGAGGTTTGATTGTTTCTGATCGCTCCCAGATCTCGTCTTCACTCAGATAGTTGCTGAACTCATTGAAGAACTGGATGACTTTATCATCTTTCTCGATGGAATAATTCCTAGAAAGAAACAATGAAAGTCACTGTGGAAGAATGTCATTTCCAGTTTAATGATATTGCATGACATCCAGTTACTCCTCGTGATGATATTTTCATATCC